CTACAAGACCTAGTTCCAGGACAGGCTCCAAAGCTACACAGAGAAACCCTGTCTGGGGGGGGGAGATCTCTATCCCTCCCGGTCTTTCCCCAGCCATCCGCCAGGATGGATGGATGAAAGACCTGAGCTAATGGAGTTAGCTTGCCTTCGCCTCCGCCTGGTGATTGGGGTCACCGCAGTCCTGGGCCGAGATCCTGGGGGCCTGAGCCACCAGGGGTCTTTCACTTCCTGCCCAAGGTACTGGTAACCCTGGAAGGTAGTCCTGGTGTTGGGAGTGCTCTGTCAGAAACTTGGACACACTTCTCTTTACACGGTGTTAGAATTTCTTGAATAATGAACTGGCAGTTACATTCCCTCTTGCTGACTGTGGTTTGTTGAGCAGTCCTGACTTCACTCTCACTAATAACCCTCAGATCACAAATTACACCTCACACAGTGTTACATATGTTACAGAAGGGCTACACAAGAATTCACAGCCCTTCCTTCCTGGAAGAGGCAGAGGCTGATAACTGCTACAAATGCAGTGTTTAGACATCAAGCAGCCCAGCTGAAGAGCCAGCTGTTGAGGAAACGGAGCTCAGATATGCAGAGCTTTGGGATTCTGGCCTCGGGTATAGGTGGCCCCGTGCAGGACTGGTCCACATGGATGGGTGGATGATTGGCAGCTGAGCCAGACGCATCGTAGGTAGCCATGGACTGAGCTGAAGCCTTAAGTAGACTTTAGAGGTCTCTGCTTCACTAGGTGGTCAGCTTAGAGTTGAGAGAGTGCTCTTGTCATCATGGTGGCAAGCACCCTCATTAATGAGTCCAGGTGAGGGTGTTGCACGCTTCATTGGTCTGGTGCATGTGGCAAGTTTGAAACCTGGTTTTTCTGCTGTTTTTATTCTCTCTCTCCCTCCCCCTCCCTTTCACTTCTCCTCCCTTTCCCCCTCCCCCTCCCCCTTCTCACTCCCCCACCTCTCTCTCTCTCTCTCTCTCTCTCTCTCCCCTCTCCCCCTTCTCCTCCTCTCTCGCACTCTCAAGACAGGGTTTCTCTGTGGAGCTTTGGAGGCTATCCTGGAACTCACTCTGTACATTAGGCTGGTCTCGAACTCACAGAGATCCGCCTGCCTCTGCCTCCCGAGTGCTCCACCAACACCCTGGCTTCTGATGTTTTTAATGTGCCCATATGCTCATTTGTTCAGTCTACTTTGAGAAGCCTAAAGAGCACTGGCATTTTACTTTTAAGAATAAGGTGAGTATCAGGTACTGTACACGTCATCCTGCCTTCACTTGTAACTTGTAGTCACATTGTGGATACTCTGCTCAGTTTTTTTTATTACATTTGTTTATTTGTGTGTGTGTGTACATATACACACAAAAGTATGTGCACACCATGCAGGTTGAGGTCAAGGACGGGTAGCCAGCTTGTGGGTCCTAGAGATCAACCTCAAAATGTGGTTTTGTTTTGTTTTGTTTTTTGAGATTATGATGAAATTGCGTCATTTCTCCCTGCAAAGCCTTCCATGGACCAATCTTTGCTCTCTTTCAAATTCATGGCCTCTTAGTTCATTATTTAATCTGTATAATGTTAGCCATATTTGTTTTCAGGGCTTTGGATACACAGTTGATATTTGGTAAACAATCAGTGTGCTCTTGCCTAGGGGAGACTATTTCCCCCACCCTTAGCATTCCCTAGCTGCCAGTTCTCTGTGTAGGGATGAGGCTGTCCACTTGGGCATGTCTGCTGGTGTCATCCTTATCCGTCTCATATTTAGGCAGTGATATTGGTGATATTTTATGGGTGTCAATTCTGACATTCCTAGGGGACACAATCTCACAGCTAACTCCTTGTTCTTCCAGCTCTTCTTCTGCAGTGTCCCTGAGCCTTAGGTGCTGGACACCTTGTAGTTGTATCCATTGGGACTGGGCTCCATGATTCTGTGTTCTGATTGGTTGTGATTTTTTTCAAGACAGGGTTTCTTTGTGTAGCCTTGGCTGTCGTGGAACTCGCTCTGTAGTCCAGGCTGACTTTGAACTCACACAGAGATCCTCCTGCCTCTGCTTCTGGAGTGCTAGGATTGAAGGTGTGCTCCACCACTGCCCAGCCAGGTTCCTGGATGAGGGATGAGGACTGCACTTACGTGTGGGCATAAGGACAATGTCTCAATTGTTATTTGCTATGTTGGTTTAGTAAAGTGGTTGTAGGTTCTCAAGATCCACAAGCTCAGTAGCACTGGGTAGTTAGCTAGATTCCCAATACTATGCATATTTTCCAGGAGTGAGTCTTAAGTCCAATTAGGAAGCTCTTGGTAACTGCCAAGGTATGCTGTACCCTGTAGGATTATTGCTTGTCATTATTATAGTTCATAGGCATCATAGCTAGGCAGAACTGTTGGTTGCTTCCCTCCTTTGGGGGTTTGCACGGTGCCTCCTGGTGCCATGAATACTAGTCCACATGGGAGGGGGCACTAAGGTCAGTTCCAGCTCAGGGGATTCTGGGCCCTGTTTCTGCAGTGCATGGGTGTCTTCAGCCATAGGGTCAGGTTGTTGTTTTTGTTTTTAACTTCTTTCTTTTTGTCATTTTTTTGGGGGTTTCTGAGACAGGATGGCTCTGTGTGGCTTTGGAGGCTGTCCTGGTACTCACTCTGTAGACCAGGCTGGCATCGAACTCACAGAGATCCACCTGCCTCTGCCTCCCAAGTTCTGGGATTCATGCGCCACCAACGCCCGTCGTCATTCTTTTTTGAGATGTAATGTTATGTAGGAAAGCCTGGCCTCAACTGGAGCTAAGAATGGCCTTAAACTTCTGATCCTTCTGTATCCACCTCCCCAAATCTTAGATTTGATTTGGTTTGGTTTGGTTTGGTTTTTTTGAGCCAGGATTTCTTTGTGTAGTCTAGGCTGTCCTGGAACTAGTTATAGAAACCAGGCTGACCTCCAACTCACAGAGATCCCCCTGCCTCTGCCTCCCAAGTTCTGGGATTAAAGGTGTGGGCCTCCACTGCCCACAGTGCTGGTGTTAGAAACATGCAGGGTTACAAAGCACTGAGGCTGAAATTGAGGACGTCATACAAGCTAGGCAAGTCCTCAGCCAACTGTGGCGCATGTGTAGTCATTTGCTCAGTTTTGTATTCATATTTCATGGACTTACAGTAAACTGAATTAAATTTTATTGAAATAAGATGGAAAAGACCACTTATTAGATATTGTTTATTGGCTTAGTGATTTACTTAAAGCACTGCTTGTACTGCCTATTTGCCGATGGACTTCACTTGCTACCTGAAACATAAAAGATCCGGAGAAACAACTGAAACAATGGGTCGTTGCCCTTAGCAACCTGCTGACTGCCACATAAGCTTCTGTAAAATCTCACTTGCAGGTCTGCCCCACCAGTGATTTTTAGAATATAAAATGAGAATACAAACTGAACCTGAGATTGAAGCTTTTTAGAATCAGAAGCTATCCTGGTTTCGGGCCACTGTCATTGGTGGTGGAGTACTTACCCCAGAAAGATTCCTGCACATTTCTAGAGGCCCCAGTGAGGATCTCACCACAACCCCAGTTGGTCCAGAGAGGCTGCTGTTCCTGGGCCTCTCAGCCTACCAAAGGTCTCCAGAACTGGAAGCACACACTCTGTGTGGGCTTCCTGGGTCCCCTCTCAGTGGCCAAGAGGATTGTGAAACCCAGGACCAGAGTCTCTGACTGGAAGAAGATGAGACCAAGCTGGACATCCAGACCAGGTGGAGACCCTTGGAAATGGGCAGAAGCACCATGTGAGCCTACTCACCCTGGAGATTGCATCCAATGCCTCAGTGGGACACTGAAGTGGCACTGGTCTCCAGATAAAAGTCTCGAAGGATGCTAAGGCACTTTTACTGGTCTCCAGATAAATAGACAAACTAGAAATTTATTTTTAATTATTTTTATTTTATGTGCATTGGTGTTTGCCTGCATATATGTATGTGTGAGGGTGTTGGGTCCCCCAGAACTGAAGCCACAGACAGCTATGAGCTGCCATGTGGGTGCTGGGAACTGAACCTGGGTTTTCTGGAAGGGCAGGTAGCGCTCCCAACAGCTGAGCCATCTCTCTCCCTCCCCAGACCAGGACTTCAAAGCTGGAATGTGTAACTTGTGAGTGGATGGCAAATGGATGTGTAGATGGCTGTCATGGTCCACAGCCCTGTAGCTGCAGGATCTGAGTGCTCTTCAACCTGTGGTCACTTTATCCGAATGGACACCCAATAGGAGGTGACCAGCACGGGGTTATGTGTGTGACCCTGAGGTATCACCTCTTAGGTCGCTGCAAGGGGGGGTCAAGGCAGGTGGTGAAGCAGGCACCTGCTTTCGAGAGAAGCTGGTCTCCAAAAAGCCCACCCTATGCACCACACGGGTTAGGCACCTAGAAATTCCTGTTTAGGAAACCCTTCTGTTCATGGGGTAGGCACAGCCCTGATGTAAGACCTATCAGTCCTGTAAAGTCTGATAAGCTTTGAAGACACCAAGGAAGCACCTCCGTTAACTACTCCCAAAGGGTGAAATCTTGCCCATGGAAACCACCTCCCAACTGGCTCCAATTACCCATGCCACATGATGCCAAAGCAGTCACAAGACCACCTGATCCTGCCCCTCCAAAGACATCTGCCCCACCACTGAGAGAAACACCAGGCTTATTTGTGTGTGTGTGTGTGTGTGTGTGTGTGTGTGTGTGTGTGTGTGTGTGTGTGTGTTTTTGAGTG